TCCACACTTTTACTTTTTTGCCTGATATCTACCCACCCAATCACCCAGATAAGAATGGTAGAATCCAATTTTGGCAGAAGCTGCTGTCAGAGACAAGAGACCTCTAGGAAATTGGGAGGGAAAAAAAAGGCAAAAAGTGAAAATATTGAGTGCTTCCTATAGGCAAAGCTCAGAATTTCTAAATAAATAAATAAATAATAGAAGATACCTCAGAATCTCAAACTTGAGGAAACACTGTTGCTCAGACAACATGACATGTAATCACTTGTGCATGTACAGTGAACTAAACTATAATTGTACAGCTACCATGGATATGGATAACTAGTACATTAGTCTAGTAATATTACACTTCTCATAGATGGGTCTTAGAAATTCACAAACTTTCTTTCTCTTTCCACACTAGGAAAAAATATAAGCTTTGTTTAAACATAAAATTGTGACAGAGCAAAGTTAATTTTCTCCATAGATGAGTGAAATCATTTAATTTTAAGCTCAGAGATTTTTTTCATTCGATATTCAGTCCATATACTTTTATTAATTACAAAGCCCTAGGACAAGCTAAAAAAAAAAAAGCTTACTGACTGAGTAAAAAAAATATAAAAGCCAACTCAGTTTGACTAGTTCCCCACCTGCAGCCCATACTTCACCCAGACTGCTAGTAGTAAGTTACATATATCAATTCTTTACTGGGAGAAGGAGGGAAATTCAGAAAGGGAAAAGAAATTGGAGATCTAAAAAATGATTGTCTGAAAACAGAGTGGACTCAAATAGCAATATTATAGCTGCAGGTTCATATTCCTACTTTTAAAACTTGTCTACATTTTATATTTTTTAATTTCCTTTATTTTCCTCTTGATTTCCTTTTTTTTCAGCAGAGTTCCCTTAGAAAGGTCTAGTGTGTTTATACTTGCTAAGAATAAACAGGAAGTTATTTAGTTTTTGGTACTTAGGCCACAGATAAATGAAAAGTGGCCAGCCTGTGTGGTCCTTGCAGACAGGGATGAAAATTGCCATAGGGGAATACAAACTTGGAGGGGAGGGGAAGTGTTCAGGTTGCTACCATTTCACAAAAGCCCTTCTCTGTTCATTTCCTGGAGATTTGTTATACTTTGTTTTATATAAATCTATATAGTTTTATATAAACTGTATCAGATTTTTCTGATATAGTTTAATTGAAGGGAAGAAGCATATACTCATGAAAAGTTAACAATACAAACTACAGAACAGTTGATTTCTGAAGGTATACAATCTATGTCAAATTAGTGATATAAACAATAACTGACATATGAGATTTTAGGGAGAAGGGTCCGAGGTCTTCTAACCCATTGTTCCTTCAAGGAAAACCATCCCTAAGCCATTCCAGACAGATATATTTGATATTTTTAATGTGCTAACTCTTCTTCCTAGCAAACTAAATCCTTGGATATGAACTTCCAAATTATTTCCCCTTTGAACTTAATAACAAACAGTTTAGAAGAGAAAATAGGAAAAATATCATGGTTTCATAGAAAGAGGAGTATTTTTATAACACTGGGTTCACACTTAGATACAGAAGCTTCCTGCACACAGCAACAAAAATCTGTAATCAGCCCCGGTCCATATTATAAGTTCCACCCCCATCCCCCGGGGATGTAAAAATGAATGTAGGAGAAAGAAGGAGGCATGGAATCCAATAACTAGCCCTAAATCTGTCAGTAAAGCTGTGATGTCCCATGACACACCCTGGATCTGTACTTAGGGCCACTAAGTTCCCATGACCCTTCTGGACTTCTTCTAAGGTCATTGACTTCCTTTTCAATCTTGTGATGTCATCTTAGGCTTCATCGGAAATTACATCATAAGAAGCACTGACCACTAACTAGGAACATTCGTGAAAGGCACTGCAGTTTCAGAAAGAGGTATGGTTCCATTTTCTAAATCAATCTTGTTTCTTCAACTGGCTAATTATCTAAACAAAGTAACTTCCTTTGTCATCTGCATAAAAAATTCATTTTATGTATTTATTGTTTGTTTATATTAACCAATTAATAGCCCATTTGCTTTGTTCTAAGATAGTTCTTACCATACTGTATTGTAACCTTTCCATATTTCTGAGTTATCACTTCTCTCCCCCACCAGACTATGAGGGGCTTGAAGGCAGGGATATCTCTGAATCCGTATAGTGTGGGTCTCATTATTTGGGGATCACAGTAAATTCTATAAAAATAAATTAAATGCTGTTAAAGACATGCAAAGCCATAATTTGTGAAATGAGTGGCTTAGACTAAATGATCTCTATCCCTCTAGGATTCATTAATTGTTTAAAAGTTTTACAATTTTCTTGTTATGACCTAATATAAGTGATTGACCTTAGTTATAAATAAACAATTGAACCTAACTACCAACATTACTAGGAAAGCTTATTTTGGTCTGTAGGACTGGAAAGTTTATTAATGGGACTAATGACCATCTGTTTTCCATTAATTTATTTATCAGTTTTATTAGGCACCTTTCATTCAAAGATCTGGAAATGTCAAATTTATAATATTTAACAGAAAAACAAATAAATGATTATTCTGTGTCAAGATATAAATGTTTTTTAATCTTACAGTAAACATTATGATTTAGTTCCTTCCTTAATACCTTAGGAAGTAACTTTACTTTAGGCTCTGAGGCTGGAAAGATTTTAAATGATACTGGAATACAAAGATAACTCTAAGTGGTTTTGAATGATAAATACTTTAAAAAATGACATACTTGTTCATCATTCATTTATTCATTCATTCAATTAGCATTTATTGAGCACTTATGGTCAAAGTACATATGTCTTAGCCCTGTGTGACGTGCCTTCTTATATATCAACCAGATGGTCTGTAAGGGAAGCTAACATATGCATACAAATCATTGATCTGAAAGAGAAATTTAGAGTTCACTAGAAAGGAAAATGATAGAAATTACTTTGGAAAGAGGATGAAGAAAGTCTTAAAGTCTTTACACCCAAAAAGGGTGTAATTTGAGTGAAAGGGTGGGTAGTTTTTGCATATACCTAGATGGAGGAAAGAGTATTTCAGGAAAAAGAAATAGCATGAAAAAAGACAGGTGAGAAAACATGTAGCACATGTCCCTAGCATAGTAAAATAGTTGTTTCATTGAACTATAGGGTGTGCAAACGAGAAAAGTGAGAGAGAAGCTAAGAAAATTTAGTTGCAACTAGACTATAGAGAGCCTTAAATATCAGGCGAAGAAGTTTGGATTTTATTCTGAAAGCCCTCAGTGACCATTGAAGGTTTTAGAACAGAATTATGATATAATTGGAAGAAGCTCCAATATATGGAAAATTTTTCTAGAGTTTTTAGGAGGATGTAGTGAGGATTGATGGTGGTAGGAAAGACAGATGGTAATTATTTATCTAATACCTTTCAAGTGTAGTTCTTAAAACAAAGCTTATCGCAAGAATCTCAACAGCGCCATCTAGTGACTCATCATAACTCTGCCCAATTTGTGGAAAACCTAGTAACAAGGCTAACAGAAGAAGACTTGATTAAGTTTAGGCAGTTTCCCTCTTTTCCACAATTGCACCTGAGTTCAGGGAACCAATGGTGAAAGAGGCAAGTAACCTCTTAGTTTTCTTAGTTGCCAGAAAGCAAACTAAGAAATAATGCAGAAGTTGGGAATAGTCAACTCATTTTTCTCTTTGATCTTAGATATCCACCCTCAGAATGATTCACCCTCAATTCTTTGTCATATACCAACAGTTCTTGGTGCAAAATTATGACATTTTTTAATTAAAGGGAAAAATGAAGCAACTAGCCAAGTTGTTAGCAGTAGTAAACCTGGAAGTTATATCCTACCTACAACCATTACTATAACTGTTTGTTTCTGTATCTACAATTCAGAGACAAGATCAGTCCCTTCCATTGCTTGGAGTTCTTGCATGTTCAAGCAATCTTTCCACCTTACAAACCCCAACTCTCTTTTACTAGGGAGAAAAAGCTGTGTAAAAGGCCAAGAAATCAGACTTCAATCAAATATTATCCACAAAAAAAAGATTATCCACCATATTCTGTATTGATGAGTTGCTCCCACTTTAAGAATAAAAGAATCTGGAGGAACACTAGAAATCATTATTTCCACATTGTCTCATCCCTAGATCTGTCTGATCAGAGCTTGTTTACTGCCTTAATTGGCTGTCTTGATGTAGCTTAACTAAGCTAGACCAAGTAACAACCTCTTGGTATAAAAGAAATGACCATGTATGGTTGAACAGTATGGTTTTGAGAGTGAGTTTAGGAAGAGAACAAGAATAAACAGCTACAACAATATCCTTACCCAGAAAGTATATTTTAACTAGTTATGCTGCATCTTTCCTCAGAGCCTTAACTTATGGTGCAGATTTTTAAAAATGTGTTTTACCTCTTTGGAACTGTTTTCTCTCATTAAAACAATTAGATAAGCATCAACCAGCAGATGTTACCTAGAAGCCCTCTTTTTGAACAAACCAAGCATTTTCACCTAGACTTTATTCTCCAAGAGAATTCAATGCTCTTCCAATAGATAGATAGATGTAGATAGATAGGTAGATGATAGATAGATGGATATTTATATTTATGAAAAATGACTATCCTTAAAGCTTTTATCTAATAGAAAAACTCAATTAAAAAGAAGATTTACAGAATAGTACTAGAGTAATATGACTTAAAGAAAAGCAGAGCTATTTTAGCTAGGTTTTGAAGATTAAGAGGAAGTCCATTAGGCAAACTTGGGTGGAAATAAGGGAAAAAGAGTTTTCTTGATGGTTATAGGACACAAACTCTTCTCCTGGAGGCAAGGTGCAGCTGAATCTTTCTTTATTGCCCCACTACCTGTACTTCCTGCCATGATCAAAAAGTATATATAATGACAATATAAAGTGAAATCTTAGTAATTCCTGTAATTTATTGTCTGATAAAAATTGACAAGAATTTATATATATATATATATATATATATATATATGTGTGTGTGTGTGTATATATATTGTAGGCACCAAGCAGACATTCCTAGAGAAACATGGATGGAGTCGGGAATCTGACAGTATCTTCTGCCAATAATAACACGTGCAATGACACTATTGATGACTTCCGCAATCAAGTGTATTCCACCTTGTACTCTATGATCTCCGTTGTGGGCTTCTTTGGCAATAGCTTTGTGCTCTATGTCCTCATAAAAACATATCATGAGAAGTCAGCTTTCCAAGTATACATGATTAATTTAGCAGTAGCAGATCTACTGTGCGTGTGTACACTGCCTCTCCGTGTAGTCTATTATGTTCACAAAGGCATCTGGCTTTTTGGTGACATTTTGTGCCGCCTCAGCACCTATGCCTTGTATGTCAACCTCTATTGTAGTATCTTCTTTATGACAGCCATGAGCTTTTTCCGGTGTATTGCAATTGTTTTTCCAGTCCAGAACATTAATTTGGTTACACAGAAGAAAGCCAGGTTTGTGTGTGTTAGCATTTGGATTTTTGTGATTTTGACCAGTTCTCCATTTTTAATGTCCACATCTTACAAAGATGAGAAAAACAATACCAAGTGCTTTGAGCCTCCACAGGACAATCAGGCTAAAAATCATGTCTTGGTCTTGCATTATGTGTCATTGTTTATCGGATTTATCATTCCTTTTGTTATTATAATTGTCTGTTACACAATGATCATTTTAGCCTTACTTAAAAATTCAATGAAGAAAAATCTATCAAGCCGTAAAAAAGCTATAGGAATGATCATAGTTGTGACAGCTGCTTTTTTGATCAGCTTCATGCCATATCATATTCAACGCACCATCCACCTTCATTTTTTACACAATGAAACTAAACCCTGTGATTCTATTCTTAGAATGCAGAAGTCAGTGGTCATAACCTTGTCTCTGGCCGCATCAAATTGTTGCTTTGACCCTCTCCTATATTTCTTTTCAGGGGGGAACTTTAGGAGAAGACTGTCTACATTTAGAAAGCATTCCTTGTCCAGTGTGACTTATGTACCCAAGAAAAAGCCCTCTTTGCCAGAAAAAGGAGAAGAAACATATAAAGAATAAGTTAAACCCATTTCCAATGAAAATCAATGAAGAGTTTCCCAAACAAGTATTACCTCAAATTATCTACAATAAAAATGAGTATTTCCATTAATAATTTACAAACACTTAACTGAATGTATGCCTATAAATAGAACTCATTTATGAATCCACACTGTTACATGTCCTAAAAATATTTTAAGTGTTAAAAATTCAGTCCACAACTATTAACTAAATTATAAGTGGTTTTTTGATCTTTCACCGAAAGATTTTTGTCTTGGCATTGTAAAAAAAAATGGATCTGAGACCAAATAAAAGCTTCAGAAAGGATAAGAACTAGCCCTTTAAGATACAGTTATCCTAACATAGTCCTTTGCATGCATGCCATCAGATGAGAACTGGAATGACCCAGGAGCTACATAAAATGTCCTGTCACCCTCTTCCTTTGAAGTATTGACTGACTAGGCAAAGTAGGGCCATTTCTTCCAAAACAGAACATGCAAGTGCTAGAACACCTTAGTATCCAGCCAAATGGCCCTAAAGACTCCATGCAATGTGCAATTGGGAAACTGAGGAATAGGAACTTAGTCAAAAGCCAGTTTGTGTCCAATTTTCTTCTGCTCCTGATCCAGGCCCTCAAAAGAGAATGGTGGCGTTTTTTTTGCTTATTGAAGTTCTTACAGGAAATTCTCTCCCTACATGACATACAATTCTTCCTTACGAACCAGACAACTGGTACTCCCATATATGAATAGAAGTAATTTAAAATTTGTCTAAAGCAGAGGGAAAGGGTTTTACTTTTCTACATGCTTATTATTGGGATCAAAACTAGCTACAGTGGGTTTCTGAATAAAATTTGAATGTTGCTATTACAAGTTGTTTTAATAAGTACTTATATTTATATAACTATGTCAGAGATTTTGTTCCATGATATGCATTTATGAATGGAAGTTAATTACAAGTTTTGTTATTATTTTATACTTTTTCTTCTCTATTGGCATGTTGACAGGAATATCAAAGAGATGTTTACAGTGGGTTTTATATAACAGTGGAAGCTTTGTTCTTAAAACACAACTTGATTATGGCTGAAATATAATATTCATGTGCAAACTTTTGCTGAAGTGTGGTCTGTTCCTTTATTCTGTGTTTCAAAAGGCACATTACCTCAGAGGAAATAAATGATAATGGTGAAGAAAAAAACTATGAAAGGATTCTATCTGAATCTGCCATGTGTATGTTATTTGTATTTCACTTCTAATGTTGCAACCCCTTAGGAAAACACTCAAAACAAAAAGAAAGAGGACCTCTAAGGCATAGTGTAACTAACTAGTGTCCATTTATTTTTAACATACCTGAGATTTGGCAGTATCTACACTTTTATCCTATACCATTTTTTCCTTGTTTGAGGTGAAGATCAAACATAATATCTATCAAAACATTCAGTCCTCATTTCTCATGTTCTAAGCTTTCTGCTACTAAGTATAGTGTGATAGAAGAGCACTAAACTGAAAGCTAGAAGACCTGATTGCTAATCGGGTCTCTATTACTTACTAGTGGTGTAACTTTAAGCAAGTGACATAAATTCTGATCCTCAGCTTCCTCATTTGTAAAATGGTAATAATAATACTTGTCTTGCCTTTTTTTACCGGACATTTTTGAAACTCAAATGTGATCATAACATACACACATATATTAACATATATGTTAAAGTTTTACCTTTAAATAATTTTAAAGTACTTATAGATGGTTTTGTTACTTAAATATACTGATTCATATTTACAACATGGATCCTAAATTTTGAAAGATTTAGAACAAAATATGGGCGTAGTTAAATTCTAATGCACATAAAAGAACCTTTTGTCTTACTTGTTCACACTTCTAGGTGTTTTCTTATGTTCTCACTTCTGCTAGCAGTCCCACTTTCTCCCACACAGAAGCATACTGACAAGTTAACCACAAATTTGTTGTTATTCTTTACATCATTTAGTTTATATCTTATATGAAACTGTTTAATACTTAATTATTTTCCAGTTTTTTCATATGTGTATTTTCTCCCAAAGTGAACTCAACACTTTATGGAATTATCAATTCCTTCAGGTTGAAAACTATGCCTTTAAATCATGGTACTTAATGATTAATGAGCTTTTATTCTGTTTTAAGTGTCTTATCTGTATCACCTCATTTAATACTTATAATTGCTCTGTAATATATATATACCATTCTTATTCCTATTTTGCTGATTTAAAAACTGAGGCACAAAGAAATTAAGTAACTTGCCCATTGTCAGACAGCTAGTAAGGATCAGAACTAGGGTTCAAATCTAGGCAGTCTGACTCCAGAACTCAGTTTCTTAATTTGCTATGCTATCCTGCTGGACCATTTTCTACCTTCAAAATAAGGAGTAGAAGTGAGGGGTTTTTTTCAATGATTTGTTTATTTTACAAAACAGGTTTAAATAAACTATATGTTTAATTTTTTAAATACATGAACACAGGAACCATGAACTAGAGCTTATGATTTTATTTGGAAAAACATCTTAAGAATATTGTATACTATCTTAGAATATTGACAGTAGAAGGACTTTAATGTTTATAATTTCTAATATCTATATAATACCCTGTGGCATTACCATGCCACAGTCTTCACACACATTCCTTTGGTTTCTAGCAGTCCTTTGTAAACTCATCAGCTATTCAAGCTCATTTTCATTATATACTTGGCTTTTTTATTTTGTTCAGCCAATATAGGTTCAGTACCTCAAAAAATAATTTCAAACATTAAGGCAATGCTTTGTATTTTATTCTCCAGAATAAACATAAATGGTTTTGTATACTCATCTCAGACTGTAAACTTTGGTTTTCTTGGTTGTCAAAATCTCCTGGCTTTCATTCTAATAATATGATTTTTCATTTTTAATTGACTTTTAAATGGTCTTTTGAGATAAATATATACCTCAATATCTAACTTTATTAATGCTTTAGTAACTCCAACAGTGAAAAATTCAGAAGCTTGAAAGGCGAGATTGGATTTTAGAGCAATGTAAATTTGTGGGCCCTTTTTAGTAAGCACCACTGCACTAGAGGTAGGAAAAAAAAGCTCACTTATTCTATTCTTCTTCATGTGCATAACCTGGGTTAGATTGCCTTTTTCTGATACTAAAGGAGCTAAATGGGAGAGAGCTTGGGAAGATGGCAGAGTAGGAGGATCCTAAGTTCACCTCATCCCATGAATACAAGTAAATAACAGCCACATCAGTGCAACTAACCCAGAAAATGACCCAAAACTGACAGAACAGACTTTTCACAGCTAACTGTAAAGAGGAAGCCACATCAAAAATGGTAGGAGAGGCAGAGTTGGGAACCAAACTTCTGGTGATACTAACCACAAATGGGAGGGATACCATAATTTCAAAGAAGGGAGAGGAACAGACCCCAAACTAGGCACCCCAGACATGAGGGACCTGCAATGGGAAGACAAGCCCACATAACATTTGGCTTTGTAAACCAATGGGACTTAACTTCATGAGTTGTTACAATAAGTGGGGCTTGACTTCAGGTACTTTAAAAATCAGCAGGCTCACCTCTGGGAAAGCTGGAAGGTGATAGGAAAATGAATCCCTATCCTTAAAGAAACAACGTAATAAACAACTCTGTCAAGATACAGCATAGAAGCAGCAGGTTGAAAAACACCTGGGTATAGGAAAAGGAGATTTATTTACTAATCTGAGAACTTGCACTGGAGGGGCAAGGATCTTTAAGAGATTTATCCAAGAACAAACAAGCTGACAGATACCATTTCTGTAACCCACCCTCCAACCTAGATGCACAGATACCTGCAGGAGCAGCATAAACACTTGCCACGTAACTTGCTAACACCAAGCTCACCACACCCATGGTCTCCTACAGATTTGCCCCTTCCAACCCAACCCACTTGGAAACAGTATTTATTAGAGTGAAAGCCAGAAGATTTTGACAACCAAGAAAACCAAAGTTTACAGTCTGAGATGAGTATACAAAACCATTTATGTTTATTCTGGAGAATAAAATACAAAGCATTGCCTTAATGTTTGAAATTATTTTTTGAGGTACTGAACCTATATTGGCTGAACAAAATAAAAAAGCCAAGTATATAATGAAAATGAGCTTGAATAGCTGATGAGTTTACAAAGGACTGTTAGAAACCAAAGGAATGTGTGTGAAGACTGTGGCATGATAATGCTACAGGGTATTATATAGATATTAGAAATTATAAACATTAAAGTCCTTCTAATGTCAATATTCTAAGATAGTATACAATATTCTTAAGATGTTTTTCCAAATAAAAGCATAAGCTTTAGTTCATGGTTCCTGTGTTCATGTATTAAGACACAGCAATAGTACCCTGCAGTTCAATGCAACCCAAGCCTCAGCAAATGAGCTGAGGGCAAACTTCTGGTCTGATACAAATATAAGCCCAAGGTGCCCCAGACTGGTCCCTTAAAAGCACAGGGAAAAACCATGTTTGTAACAGCAAAGAGGACTATGGCCTGAACTGAAGGCAAACACAACCAAACAGTAGGGCACATGCAACACACATAGGAAACACCACTGAAGCACCTGTTTCTGGTGCACAGGGAACATGGCACTACAGGGCACTATAGGACCTCTTTTTCCCAAGGCCAATAGTTTCAATATCTGGAGACATGGCTGATTTTTTAAATACATAGAAACAAACAGAAAGTTAGACAAAATAAGGAGATAGAAGAATATGTCCCAAATGAAAGAAAAGGGGGAAAAATACAGCCAAAAAGCTAAATGAAACAGAGATAAGCAATATATTTGACAGACAATTCAAAATAATGGTCATAAAGATACTCACTGGACTTGAGAAAACAGTAGAGGATCTCAGTGAGACATTCAACAGAGATAGAAAATATAATAAAGAAACAATCAGAGATGAAGAATAACAAAAATTAACAACGTATTAGAGGAAATAAATAATAGACCAGAAAATGCACAAGATTGGATCAGTGAGAAGGAAGATAGAATAATGGAAAGCAATCAAACTGAACAGCAAAAAATAATAATAATAAAATAGGTTAAGGGAAGTCAGTGACATCAAGTGTAATAACATTTGCATTATA